CACCTTGTGGACCGGAGTCAAACCCTTAATCTGATACTCCACACCTGCGTAGTTGCAGCTTCTCTAGCGTGACTTTATTTCAGCACATCCCCGCCTACCTTTCGAATAAATAGAATGTGATTTCTAAAAATAAACCACCATTTCTAAGTGCAGAGACCCTTCCTGAGAAATCTCCGTATCAGAATGAGGTTGTTGCAGAAAACTAGTACCTGTGGGGTAAAAAACCACCACTGCTCCTGGAGGTCAACGAAGGGTTCTCAAGAATCGCTTCGTTTACCCAGGCTTCAGCCAGGGAGGCATGAGATATTCTGAGAAATCTTTTCAAATGGATTCTCATACAAGAAATCAGTCTGTGCATTTTGAAGGCTGCCCCCCGCCGCAGGGCGCCCTGCGCCAACTGCCATTCCTGGCATCAATGCTTGGGTCCTGAAGGGAGGGTGGGTGAGCCTGCAGCAAAGCCGGGGGCGGGGGCAGCACTCAGAACAGAGCCTCATCTGGTCTGGGGGTGGGGGGTGGGCTAAGAGTGGGCCAGCCCGAGCCATCCTAGCTAAGGGCTTGCTGAGGAGCAAACATGGCAGAGCCTATGACCCTGCCTGCACTGCGTGTCCCCTGGCAGGGGGCTGGCTAGAAAGATGGCCACCAGACAAGAGTACCCCATGAAAACGTGACCTAAATTAGAGTAAATTAAATCAGATTCCTGGCTTTGAAGTGCCACCCTAAGCGACAACACTTAGGGAAATGAAAAGGCCCAACGAAGAAGAAAATGGGTTTCCTGGGCAGCCTTGGTCAGTCAGTGCTGTGAGCAGACAGTGGTTCTCTGGGAGAGTGTGGGATTAGTAACACAGACTCGGAAAGGCAAGAGCCAAAAGAGGAGAATTCCTCCAAAGCCTACTGGGCTTTCCCCTCTCTGCCACCACCCGCCCCTGCCCCAGGGAGGAGTGGCAGAATGACCGGGGCCACTGTCTGCTGGTGGCGCAGGGGACAAATGGCAGACACAGGGCACTGATGCTGGGTTATGTGTGGCCACAGGCTCCGGAGTTAGTCCAGAAACGCAAGACTTGCTGTTCTTTTGTGTTTTATTTGTTTATTGCCATTAAACATGTAAGGGTTAATAAACAGACATAGTCCCGAGTTAGTAGGTTGGTATTATAACATTTATTAAAATAATGCTATGGGTTAATAGAAACAGCAAAGAACCAAAGAATTAAAATGCAAGCTATGTAAAGTCCCAACTAAAATCCAAAAGTGTCTAATGTATTCATTCGTTAGCTAACTAAAAGCCCAAGAAAGACAAGACACCCAAGATAATAAAGTACTGCAAAACAATTGGCAATTTTCAGTTATCAAAATTGTGGATTTTGCATTTTGTATCCTTTTCTCAATCAAGAAAAAAATTTTTCTGAATGTTATATAACATACATATAAAACAAGATAGAAAAATACATTATAAACTTGTAACAATGGCTGTAAATACATTATCTTACATGTTTCTCATAGGCAATAGGTTGGTTATGGTACATACATAGCATGAAACCACTAAGATCATAAAGAATAGACAAATACATGTCAGCTGTATGGGAACATACAAGCGACACTCCCATCTACCCACTCTAAAAAAAATTACATAATACTGTCAGAAAAAAAGTCTTAAAAACTACATATTTTAATAAGAAATAAACTCGATAAAGAGTGATAATACTGAGAACCAAGGCATTCAGAGATTTCAAAAGTCATGCTTTTTTTTGTTTGTTTTTGTTCAGTTGATTCAAAAGTTTGTCAACTAAGTTTTCAAAAGTTTGTTCAGAGCAAACCTTACTCATAAATGTCACACATTTATTTCAAACATTTAACTTTCTTCCCAATAAAAGACCTTTGATAAGCATCTAAAATGTCCAGGCATGAACATAGTTGAGATGAAACTGGATCAAATACTGGTATGTCGTTTTTAACAACCATCACCTCAAGGGTCTGAGTGTCGCAAATTTATTCAACCAACCAACCAACCAAAAACCAAAAATGGCACAGCACATGCTGTAAATAAACCAAAACAACTGTGTGTGTAACAGGAAGACAGCAGTGGAAAATTAAACCAAAGCGGGCTGGATACACCACCATGAATGGATGTCTTCTATTGCATAGTAAATGAACTGAAACAGGTTCCGAGTGACACACGAGACGACGGCTGAGGTCACCACTGACGGGCTGCTGACCTTTGGACACTGACGCTGTGAAGTAGGTTAAGAGGGCCCGAGTTGATCAGCTGGGAATCCACTGTCACTTGAGATTTGTTTGCCATGCCTGGTACTGGGCAGTTAACAATCACAGACTCAAGTGTTTCGCTAAGGGTAGGCATTATGCATAATAAATTGCTTTAACTACAAAATGAATTGTTTCAACTTCATGAGAAAAATGGAAGCTTCAACTCAACTGTAGTTTCTAGTTAATCCTCTGTACGTAAAATGATCCTTAAAAAAAATGCTAGGTTTTCTCATTCTTTGAAGTTGAGGAAGAAAGAAAAGGGCGTGTTTACTAAAACCAGCCAAGAGGTGGGCTATACAGGTTATCTGGCATGGTAGAAAGAAGTCTGGTTAAACGTGGGTCATTTAAAAACACTCTTTTTCAGATGCTGATGACAGGACGCCCATTTGTGAAAAGGTTAGCCATAGTATAGGATCGTCTCCAATTAGTAAAGAATTAGAAAAAAAAATCTAATGTATCATAGCCTCTCTTCTCCAAATAAAATAAAGCTCGGATTTTGTCTGTAAACTGATGTGCATTATCACACATCATTTTTATCTTAGCATCCTTTGGGCTTTACATCAAAGACTGCAATAACAAACAGAAAAGGAAGCAGTACTAACTCCATTACGGTTTCACAAGGATGTTGTGTTAAAACTTACGAGAGTCAGGCATTAGAAAAGTTATCAAATTTTTTTTCACAGTATCAGATTTGGCAAATTTGCATTCAAGGTAACGGCCAAAACCATCCAACTCAGATGTCAACTCGTGCCC